GTCGGATACAGTAGTAGAGTAGAGTAGAGTAGAGTAGAGTAGCCGTGGACCGCGGGGCGTTTGATTGGTAGAGGGATGCTCTAACTAACTACCAATGCTATAAGAGATAAAAGAGTACAAAAAGAGTTATTATAGCCTCACATAATCTAATCTAATCTAATCTACCTAATACCTCTCTATCGAACTACCAAAAAAAAAACGTCCTCTCTTCAGAGCTTGAGAGACAGTACCCCGAGTCATCAAATACAATTCGAAGCGGGGGTACTTGGACTTTGATACACCATTGGCACATTTATTATGAACGCTTTTTATTTCTCTTTCGCTCTATTCCTCTTGAAGTCCATCCATCCACATTGACATGATAACTCGGCCAACTCAGGCTTCGGTACGCAGCTCGAGCCTCCAGACTTGAACCTCCTATATTTTCCAAGAGCAAAAGATACAAAAATTTTCGTACATTTACTGGTATCCACCAGCTAGTTTCTGTTTTTTTGGGGGGGGAAGGGGGGGTATATCCCCTTCTTCGTCCGTCCACATGCTTCGTGATTACATTAAGTAGGAAAGACGCCGGGGCCAACGGAAAGGAAAAAGAGGCGCGCGCTGAACATGCTAGACGTGGTATTGGTACAATTAGCGACAGGAAAATCTTCCGGTGGCAATATAGATACCCCCGGGAACAAGACAAAGGAAATGGCGTGAGCAGTGATCATACGACAGACATGATTTATCGGGAAAAATCGGCCGCGGTGCTGTGCGAGAATTGGAATATTTGCTGTTTCGTGGGCGAGTGTGACGTGCCTAGGGGAGGTGGGTGGGAGACGGGGACAGAGTAGTCGGCGGCGGATTGCGCGGGGAGAGCAAACTGGGATGCTTCGCTCTGGCTCTGGAATTGGGGCGACCCGTGCCCGAACATGGAATTGAGGTTGAAATGCGCGTAGGCGGGCGTCACAGGCTGGCTCATAGAGGACAAGTAGGAGGGCTGCGGCATGTGGATTTCTGCCGCGAAGGAGTCCTGAGCTGGGGTATAGAGAGGCTCGTCGGGAACATCATATTGCAGCCAGGACTTGTCGGATAGATCGGCGGTGCTAGCGGTAGCGGCCCATTCGTTCGCGGAGGCCACCATATGTGCGTGCGGGGTCTTGGGGGGGGAAACCAGACTGGCATCCCCTTCGATCGAGGGGAAAGAGCCGGGGTCGGCGTTGAAAACAAAGTTCACACCCCCTTCACTCGGGGAGGCGGTCGACCTCGTGCCGTCGTTGGGGGCGAGCGCCAGATCTCTTTCCAGGGGAGACATCGGAGTTGGGGGGGCGAGGCTGCTCTTGCGGCACGGACCCGCTCCGAACGAGGTCGCATTGCGGATGCTGTGGTAGTTGTGTCCGAGAAAGGAGCCGGCGTCCGCACAGCCGCCCAGGTTGATGGGGGATCGTTGCGAGGAATCAACTCCCGATTTGCAGATGCGACCCGACATCACGTTCCGTTTTCCTCCCGCCGATACGATCCGGCGCATGGGTGAAGGCACAGGACTCTCGGTTGGCCCGCGGGATCCCTCAGCGTGAGACACCGTCCTCGGACCCGATGCAGGTCGACCCCGGAGGGTCTCAGCGACCAGTGCTGCCGGCTTGACCTGAACCTTTTTCCGGCGCGATACAATATCCATGGGGGCAGGGGGGGATCTGAACAGACCCGAAGGTCCGGGGGGCGAGAGGGACGACGCTGGGGACTCGGACAGCTCGTACTTGAATCCGATGACTGATTCCTGGGTCGGCTCCGGGCCCGGCGCGAATTGATTGTCGTTCTGCCGTGGCAGCCCATCGTTGCCCTGGGCCGTGAGCAGTTGCGAGGGGAACGTCGCCATCAACTGTGGCATGGAGGCGTCGGGGAAGGCGTCTTGGAAATTAATGAAGGGGGTGAGGGCGTGGTTGGTGGTGGCCTCTTCGGGGGGCTGGCCCTCGGGAATCGACTGAGACGGGGACGAGTTGAGGTATACGCTGTTGGAGAAACTCGAGGGATAGGAATAACTCTGATTGCCGTTGAACTGGTCCACCGTTTCGTCGGGTGGGGGAAAGCGAGCTCGGTCACAGCTGCTGGAGAGCCCGGGGATCGCGCCGCCAAAGCTGGCCGCCAGGGGATCGTGGCAGGTCCCGAACAGGTTGTATTCGTCCTGTTCCAGACCGGCCTCCGCAGCGGCCATGGTCCGATCGAGGGATTCCATGCTGGCGGCTGCGGGATCACGGTACTGGGGATTGTAGGGCGCGACAGGTGGAGGGGGTCCACTCGCCCCGGAGAAGGTGGGGGCCATGGGCACGGCGGGCGTGTTGTCACTGTAGAATGCCGTGCCGTTGTTGTTGTACAAGTCGGGCGAGGAGGGCTCGGAATATCCCCGAGCTTCTTGTGCCTGTTCGGCTTGGTAGGATTCCTGCTTCTTCTCCTGCTTCCTCTTCGCTCGGCGATTTTGAAACCAGTTCTATGTCTGTTAGAGCCAGAACGGGTCCGTCTTCACACGCCTGCACTTACATTGATCCGGGGCAGATCGACGCCCATGTCGTCAGCAAATTGACGTTTTGTCTGCGTCGTCGGCTTGGGATTCTTTTTGAATTCGCGCTCGAGAATATCCACTTCATCTTTCGCCAGGCGGGGCTTCGTGTCGTTCGTCTTCGCCCCGTTGGCTATCGCAATCATTGGAGCCGAGAGATGCGTCGCGTATGCATGCTGAGCATCGGGATAGTGGGGTATCTGCTCGTGGGAGTAAATGGGGAAATGTTGGGGATGTGGATGGCGCAGCTGCAGCTGGTACTGGTGCTGTTGCTGTTGCTGTTGGTACGATGTTGGCTCGAAGAACTCCATGTTCGGCATCGCTCGGGGACCAAGGGAATTGAAAGATTAGGGGTTCGATGCTAGAAGCCAAGATCGTGATCTGATGTAGGGCTCCGCCCAAATATATATATGTGTATATATATATATATATATGTATATATGTAATTGAATATGCGCAAGGAGCCTCGCTGGCTCGATTGCCAGAAAGACGAGTCTGTTGAGTGTCCAACGGGCGGGGGGGGGGGCGATGCCACTCGACGATCGATCGTAATGCTGCTGCGGTCGGCGAGCGGGAAGAGCGAGAGTGTAAGTACGGCGTCCCGTCGGAAGCCAGGACCGAGAGCAGGACGGATTGAGATGAGTGACTGGAGTCGTTTGCTTCAGTGGACAAAAGAATGATGTAGAAGTATCGCCGTTCTCTAGCGAGTGCAGGGTGTGAGGGGGTCACGGGTTGCGTCTGGAAATATCTCGAGCTGCTGCGATGGCGGTAACGATTGCTGCTGCTGCTGCTGTTGCTGTTGTTGTTGTTGTTGTTGATGATGATGTTGTTGTTGTGATTGCTGCTGCTGCTGCTGCTGCTTCTGAATGATTAGTGGGTGTCGGTGCGGACACACGATGATGGTGATGGGTGAACGAGTGAGTGTTGGAAGCCGATTTAGTTTGTTGAGCTCGCTGATCTAGTGTACGTGATGTGGTGCGGTACGATGCGGTCCGATGCTCAAGAGAAAGACCGAGGGCGAGCGATAGCCGGTAGGGATAACAGGCGAAGAAGAAAGAGACGAGACGGCGAGGGCGACGAAGGTGACGGGTGACGAGGATGGAAGGTTTTTGTGTTTCTTGAAGGAAGGAAGGGAGGGAAGTCCTGGGAGGGGTGGAAGGGGTGGAAGGGGTGGTGGAAGGGGTGTGGAAGGGGGGGGGGGGGATGTGGGTTGGGAAGGGTGGGTGGGTTAAGGTGGAAAAGTGGGAAGGTGGGCAGGCGGGAAGGGGTGGAAAGCCAAAAAAAAAAAAGGTGGACGAGGGTGGGGTGGGGGGGGGGAGGGGGGAGTGG